TTTCGTGCTCAGTCCAGCAATTATTCAAATACCAAAGCAAAAGTTTTAGGTTTTGCAAAGCACATAAAGTGTCGTTTTGAGTGAAGCATCACAAAGTGACCCTTCTCTCGAACGCTAAAGCACACTTGAAAAAGCATCCGCCGAGTCCATGCGCTTCTTATCTGAAATGAGTCAACTAATGAAAACGACAAAGCACATGAGAATTTGATTGACTTACGCCACCTCAACTCTGTGCACATTCACAGTTTTAAAGATTTGGGATAAAGTAATTAAGAAACTGCTAATGATTTTCTTCCTTACACTCCCTTATCTGGCCTTACTTGCCATGGTATGCGTAGAAGCTTGCTTATGTACTTCCATTGCTAATCGTCAAGTTTCTCAGTTGTGGTAAACAAGAACTTAATCATATTTCATCGTCTCAACGACTTCGTAATAACCAAGGCCATAACTTCGTCAAAGACCACAAAGCTTCTCCCATGGGTGTATTTGGCAAAAGAAGACGAGTGTTCCTCATGTTGCGTTTTCAAACAACTGCATTGTTTGCTTATACTCAATACTCATGGGAACGGACATCGCCCAAAAAAAGATATTGAGATATACTCGTAAACTAAGAGTCAACTAGTCATCGCATTTTACGGGGTTGCAAAAAGGAAGTTTTTATTGGTTTAACTTAGGAACGTTCAAATTGTTGTTATGTGGAAAAAAGGGTTCTGTTTAAACTCTTTGTAAGCAACGGTGAATACTTCCAGATATACAGTTGAACAGACACATTAATCAAAGTAGTAGTCATCAAAAGGCATGGGATCAAGATTTGTGCAACAAAATCATCTCTTACCCTTCATCGTACCTGAAAGAATATTTCTCAGATAGCCCAGTATCACTCGATAGTCAAGATTGACGCTGCTCTGTTCAGTTTGTATGCTGCATTTTTGATCGATGCCTTGACAAATGATTTTTATATTGACGGACGATTGGAAGCCCATATTGTACTGGACAGAGAGGGCTA